TCGTACCATCAAGTTTATCAGAGAGTATCGGAAGTTAGGTATTTCTCATAAATAACTAGCGTCTTAGATCCTGACTTCTCATAAATTGAATGAACATTTAGAGAGCACGAGTCATATGAACAGCTTTACTACGTTTGTCACATATTTCGAATAAACCAGGTTTCACAGAACTGAAGTAGGGCTCTGCACTAACATGGTGCTACATAGATACTGTAGATAATGGGAAGAAAAGAGTGAATTTTAGTAGATAGGCTTTTAAATTGACAACTTGATTACTTCTTGTCTTACTTTGCCGGATATTAATAAATTAGGGATATAAAGTTATTTATTTCCTATTGTTAAAAAGTGCTATTTGAGAAGTCTGTTTAAGTAGGACAAAAGGATGCCAGTTTGTCTCACTTTCAAATGTTTCAAGCCCTGGTGTTTTTTCTCCGCTATTTCATTACCAAAATAAACTACTTCGCTAGCACGTATTCCATAAATTAGTCACTAAATAACAAATTCATGGCAGAGTATTAAATCTCAGAAACATTAGTAGTTCTCATCTGGAAATGCAAATAAAAGCTTGCCTAGAAACAAAAGATATTAACTTCTTTGTACCGTTTATTGATTAAATTTAAGTATGAAAAGTTCATCCATAACTTCAGATGCGTGGTACAAACAAAGTTTCAACATGGCCGGTTGGATTTGCAGGTGAACTTCCATGGGAGGGTTGTGTGACGTCTAAAAATCGGACGCACATTATAAGTATGTGGTCAGTATACAAACCCGAGCGTCCTTTTCCAATTGATATGGCAGGATTTGCAGTTAATATTGATCTTATTCTTCAACACAAGAATGCTGGATTTGACTACAAACGTTTACGTGGAATGCAGGAATCACAATTTTTGTTAGATCTTGGTTTAAAAAACTGGAGAGAATTGGAACCACTAGCAGATGGTTGTCGGAAGGTAAGTTGTACTGTTCTCAAGTTTTATTATGCGTATGCTGGTACTTGTTGTTGATCGTATATATCCATCTTTATGTAGTAGGTCACTTGTCGGATCGCGAAAGGGTTTTTGACATTTTAGTAGTATTCACTAAACTTATTTTGAAATATGCAGTGTAAAAATCTTAATGTGTCGTGAAATTTCGTCGTAAAATTGGATTCAGTACCTAACCCCTGTTTTTATTGTTCGGTCACCTAAACTTTTCATGTGGTTGTTTATTATTTGGCCAGTTCATCATTATATTTGTCTTCTCAATTATCAATATTGTGTTTTACAGCTGCAGTTATTCTGTGTGCGCTCAACTTACTAGCACAAGCATTCAAGCTGAATATTATCTATTTATTATTAACCTAAGACGTTGATTTCAAGAATGATAGAGAATAAAAACAATGATGACAACAATGCCGGTTTTGATTGTTCATTATGATAGATATTTCATAACTGATAAGAAATTGACAACCGGAAGCTTTGACACTTAACTAGAAACAATAAAAATTATAGCGTTAACATAAATGAGTACTTGAAAGTAGATGATGTATATGATCATAGATGCCTTCAGAGTGTTGCTTGTGCATGCTGGAACCACCAACCAATGTTGAAGTTAGATACGTTGTACTAGGTGAGAATGACAAATTTATTGATGAGGCGGTAAATATCCGTTGACTGTAATAATCAGGACATGTATTGCCTACACCCAACCACCAACGATGATGAATGGTGTAGCAGTAGGTCGAAAGAAAGCTAAGGGTAACCAAACTTAGACTTCACATCAGTCCTTAAAGTCACCGACTGTTGGATGGAGCTATATAGATAAGTGTAGGCGGCATGGTTAAGGCCTTTGCGATTTTCGTAACCAATGATTAGAGACTTTGGGCGATTTAGCGGGGCAGGTGCACTCAATGTTTATCTTCTCTCAAGTCTTAAGTTTCTAAATTTTCTTGTGACTTCATGAATCCATATTTTCTTCTTGAATGCTATCTTCTGTACTGTTTTCTAATATTGCTAACAATGTTCTGCTTATACGTCTTCTTTCTGTGATGTGATGTAGCAACTTGAATCGATGCACAAATATTTTAGGTTTTAGAGCAGAAGCGAAAAGTCATCTCTTTCGCTGTTTCTAAAATTGTTAACATAATCCGAACATTCACTAATATCATATTACAAGTACTTTCCTATAATTATTCAGCTTATTTTATTCCAAATACTTTTTACAATCTCCAGGAATAATACAGTTATTATTTTTCGCTTGATAGTAATTTACCACAGTACCTAATTCACCAAGCATATGAGTGTGTGCCACTCTCTAAGTATGAGGACTAGTGATACTATCCAGTAGTCCAATCTCAAGCAGATAAAGCGGGGTTTGAAATTGGGATTTAGTAACTGTAAATCACTCCGCTAGTAAAAAAGTAGTATTCGTAATATATTGATTCCTTAGTATAATTTAATTTGAAACCATCTTCCAGCTGTACAACTATCTCTTTTACTTTTCACCTAGATCCTAGTGTGGCATACACGTACAGCAGAACCACTTTTAACACTATGGAATAAACTGGAATCGCAAGGAGTCATATCTCCACCTATAGATGATTGGCCCTGAAATATGTAGTGTGATTCTAAAAGAAAACAATTATAATCTGTCTGTCAAAATACTTTTTACTTAGGCAGTATTCACTTATTTAATCAACTGTATTCAAAAGAAACCAAAAGTTACATCTAAACGTCATGTATAATCAGTCATTTAAATTGTTTATAATATAACGCATACATTTTCTTATGTAAATAATATATAGTTCGTATCATATTACTTATTATTCATAGAAATAAAATATTTTTGAATTTCTATCATTTTTGTATATATTCTGAGTTGCTCGTCTCACTTGTTTATTTATAATTGTGGTTGTTTTATTTCTTCTTGATAAATAGTAGTTATTGTGTATAGTTTATTCAGTTTAGTTTTTTTAAAAACAAAATTCTTGCTATCACACAACGAAGCTATATGGAAATCAACAATTACTGTGTTGTTTGATCAGCTAATGAGAAACGTGGTTTTCACGAATTGAGTTTTCAATCCAAACAGCTTCCGCATAATTTCCGTTTAGTATTCGTGTGATGAATTAAAGAGATAACTACGTACATGTCTGAGGTTCACAAAGTACTGAACACGAAGTTCACAATGAAATACGTTATTCTAGTGTAATTAGTTTTCTTTGTACTTATTAAAACCGCTTTTACTGTATTTCTATTCGTATATATATTTCGTGTACCTATAATTGGTTGTCTATCCAGTTATTTGAATATTATTTTGTTATCTCTGCAACTCCCATCTCATCACATTGTTTTGTACGTGATTGGTGTTGAATTTCAGATTTGATTATTAATTCCTATCGATTATTGCATACAGTACAGTATAATTTTTCAAGTCAAACAGTGGTAATTTCGACTTTCAGTTTGATATGCAAACGCGTACGCATTATACTAATTTATATTGGCTATTATATCAAGTTTTCCCTACACTTGTTTACTATCTTTTGGATTTTGTACTTTGTATCTGCTGTTTTCATTGCATCCTGTATTTTCTAGAGTATAGTAATTCTACTTGGACATAAATAAAATTGATGGCTTTCATAGGGAATATGGAGTCGTATTTTCCTCATATTAGACTTTCAAGTCTGACTTTATTTAATGATTCATTTGCATGACCGTTTCATATAGTTTCACCTTATGAACTAGATAGATTATAACACTTGTTTTCCCTTTCTCAGTGAAATCATGTTAGTAATGGGATAATGAGATGGAAGTTGTCATATTCTTCCTTTCATTTGTGGTAAAGTAAGTCAGTTGTGACATGAAGAATACAATGAATTTCGTCTCATTTTCCTGTTACTGGCGTGATCTCCATGAGAAAAGAATACTGAGTAACTAAACAACATGATAAAAATAACTGGTTTATCTTAGATATTTCTGATGAGTTAACCTTAGAGTAATTAAAAGCTTATAGTGCATATTACTGGGAACACATCACAGTAATTTATTGCTCTGCAGTCTGTCGATGATATCTTCGCTCCATTAAGTGGGTCATATTTCGTGTTTCGCTTTTCATATTTTCTGAAATTTCGATGGGAAGACTTGCTGTTGAAGGCGCTTCAAGTTCCTTTTTCATTATCAATATTTCAGACCTATGTAAATCTTTCCATTTCCATCCATACTTTGAACTGGGCTGACCGTTCACCTTTTACACTTGAAAATTCATAGTAATTAGGATGACGTGGATAAGCTAAACTTTATAAATCGTACTTGATTTTCGATTAGTCAGTTGTATATCACAACAGGTTATTTGGTTAGTCCATTAGTTCTGGTTTCGCTCCCTCTAATTCACGTCGTTGTTTAATGAGTTCCAATTCCTCCATAGACTGAAATTTGCTAACTTGGTTAATTCATCGTATAAATGCCATTTACATTCACAGCAAAAAGCCATTGCTTTTCGAATAAGGATTATATATATATGTTGCCGTTAGATAGATGTTCTGTAATTAAGTAGTCGAATTAAGATAACTGTTTTATACATGCAGCAATAGAACGAGACCATCTTAGATTAGATGGAAAAGGTATTTCCCTCCAACCATAAATAGTGGTACATAAAAGTTTTTTTCGATAATTCGTCTTTCCCTAATGAAATTTCTTTTGTACGCTGATACTGTTGTACATATATAGTACAAAAATCAAGACAACATGAATGGTATGACCTCCAATCACTTTCATAGTGATATGCATTTTCGAACTCATCAATGTTCAACACTAGGCGAGTACAAAATGCCATCATTTTGACATTTCAGTAATCAATATTAGTTTCTCATTACACTATTATGAGAAGTAGATACTTTTGAAACTTCGTAAATTCCTAATATCTTTTTGTTTGATGTTGTGAACAGGTTGTGTAACTATAGTCTTTTCTTAACATTGCTTTTAACTTTATAAACTATAGTTTACTTTTTATTGGGACATATTTTAGGACAATGGAAATCGTACAAGATTTGGCAGCCTCCACTTTGAAAGATAATCCATACTTCAGTGCTGGTGCTGGGCTATTTGGAGTTGGGATAGGAATGGCTGCCCTTAGAAGAATGAGTCAAGTTATAAACCTTCTCGTTCGCCGTAATCTTACTTTAACTTTAGAAGTGGCCAGTCATGATAAGGCTTATCCCTGGGTTTTACATTGGATTACTCTGAAATCTAATGGACCGTTAATGAAAGGTGGAAAAAACAAAATAGGCGGTACAAGTCAACACTTAAGTGTTGAAACTAGTGTAGTACGTACAGAAGGCGGACGAATCAAAGCTGCATTCGGCTTTGTGCCTAGCGTTGGCGTTCACTATATGGTTCACCAAATGAAATTAATCCGAATTGAACGTGTTCGTGCTCAACAATCCTTACAAGGTGCTACTGTAGCTCCATTTGAAAGTGTAACTCTTACGACGTTCGGTCGCAACGCCAGATTTTTTATCGATTTGCTCGAGGAGGCTAGAGAAGAAGCTCTTGCACGTGAAAAGGGTTGGACCGTTGTTTACAAGGTAATTAAGGCACATATGTACTGACCCTTTTTCGTGTTTAATTTCCACAATTATCATATATTCTAATCTTACTCTAATGTAAAAAAAACTTATCACACTAATTGTCGTTACTATTGAATATCAGTTTTATCATATTACTAACGTGATTGTTTTCACAAACGGTTCATTTTTATGTTGAATATTTCCTACAGATATATTCGGAGTTGCTTATAGCATCTACAGTACTTAAAAATGTATAACTAAAAATCATTAAATAAACGATATTATGCAAACTTCCCACGTTGAAAAATTAAATGTGCGAGTTACACTTGTAATAATATAGCAGTGTTTCACCTAAAATATATGTGTTTGACTCTAACTTTCTATATTACACTACTCCAAAGATATTGAAGTAAGAGATTTCTGGAATTTAGATAATTATATTTTCGTCCTATTGTAGGATTCCTCAACAGTGCGCATCCACGATCCCGCTCGCGGGACTCGAACTCAGGGCCTTCGTTCTCGCGCGCGAACGCATAACTTATTGGACCACTGAGCCGGTATCCAATGATGTTAATATCTAACCTCAACCAGTCCAAGAGATTGTGCGACCATCTTCCATTGTACTGAGATAGTTACCTGTCTCTACCCGACACGGATTAGCTCCACATCAGTCGGTTCATGATCTCAATCAAAAACTTTATAATCTCCACAAACCCTATACTGATAATTATCATGTGCTCACTAGTGACTAGCTTCGTGAGGGAATTCTCGGAGTTCTAGTGAGAAGCCGTGACCAGTGGAGCTAATTGGTGTCGGGTAGAGACAGGTATCTACCTCAGTACAATGGAAGATGGTCGCGCGATTTCGTGGATTGGTTGAGGTTAGACATTAACATCATTGGATACCGGCTCAGTGGTCCAGTAGGTTAAGCGTTCGCGTGAGAAACTGAAGGCACTGGGTTCGAGTCCCGTGAGCGGGGTCGTGGATGCGCACCGCTAAGGAGCCCCACAATAGGACGAAACGGCCAGTGCTTCCAGGTTTCTAATGGTGGTCTAACATCAATCGGTTCATGATCTCAATCAAAAAATTATAGTTTGTTAGATTATTCTACATATTCTGAAGAATATCTGTTTAAGTAGTTGTTTAGTAGAACTGATATTGTTTTTCTAAATTCATTTTCCATTCATAAATTTTCGTTGTCATTTACTACTCAGAAATGATTTTCATACGGTTTTTTAGGTTAACTTGTGATCTAACAATTTTAATGCATAAAAAAGTGAATCATAAAAGGACTTTTTCGTTTAGGTCGATTCTTAAATTATATTAGTCTCATAGCTGTACATTTATTTGATTGCAAGAAAATAATTCAGGCTTCCTCTGTGATTTTTTTCTAAGCAGTCAACACACAAAAGATTTTCATTATGTAATTGTCTAGATGCTAGAAGTTTCCTACTCAATTCTTACGGAAACACTTGTGGTTTTTTGATATAATTTACCTAGGCTATGCATAGATTGTCTTCTAATTTCCGTCGGCCACATCGGTTCATATAAGAACATAATAAGTGTAATAATCGTACGAAGAAGTCGTAGTTTTTGGTTTTAGGTTTTTCCAATACAGTGAATGTATCTACCTCAAAGAACAGAGACGTACTTATTACTACTTATTGGTAGTGAGTAGATAATTGATTCCACTTAATTATTGCTCCAATTTAATTTTTAGTTATACTTGTTGGATGCAAGAATTATGTGTCTAATTTTAGTTATTTTCTATTTATACGGTGTAGGCTGTTGGTTCAGAATGGCGCCAGTTTGGTTATCCTCGTCCACGTCGACCTTTAAATTCTGTCATACTGCGTGATGGTATAGCTGAAACTATTGTAGCTGATGTCAAAGAGTTTGTTGGTAGGTAAGCTTTTCAAAAGCAAGTCGTTATGTTTTATTTTAGTCATTATTTATCCCTTATAGTTGATGCGGCTATCGATGAGAAGAATAAATGGTTAATGATGTATTAGTTAAACAATAATCCAGGAAAACTTTTGTTTCAGATCTCCCTCATAATGGGACGGGGAAAATTACTGATAAGTAATAAATCTAACTATTTATTCACACCTTATATGTTTTGTACTAGATTCAATTTGCTAAATACTGATCACTATCCCATTCTTACGATAAAATGTTACTTTCTCACCGTGTATGTCCCGTGAATTTATGGCAAATTTTGATCAGTATGTGAATTCTTGTTATGTTTCAATTAGTTTCGAATCAGTTTTCACCATGATTGTTCTAATATAGGTGTTTATATTACTGATGAAGCTGTTAGTGTATATAAGATCAGTATGAATAATTTCGAGTTGTTTAATCTGTCATTGTTATCTCGTATTTCGTTGTTTGAAATACAACCTATTGAACTTTATCGATCATTAAAAAGAGCGTAGATTCTCATAAGAGACACTCCTCGTTTTAAACCCGTATTAATTATGTGAATCTTATAACACTACCGTCAATTCTTTGTCACAATATCTTGGTAGAATGATAATTATTCCCTGAGCTGATCTGGGAATAATAACATTTCTTGACATTTGTCAGATACTTTCGCTGACGTCAACTGTAGAAATGTAGTTAAATCATTCTCAAGTTTTATCAGGCATCTAAATGAAAGCACAGTATGTCTAAATAAATCACGTCTTGAAATTCAAGGAACTAACTGACAGCGTTTATTGCAGATGTTTAAAAATCAGCATCTATCCGTTAACCGTAGTTCAGTATTGAAATTAAATCATGATATTTCTTTCTTAAAAAATTTCCTTGTTATGAAATAAGTGTAGCGATTACTAAGCAGTCTCACTACGTATTCTTTTGGACACCAATTTTCCATTATCTTTTCTTTCTATTGCCATTTAGACAACCAGGCCTGGTATACTGATCGTGGTATACCATATCATCGTGGTTATTTATTATATGGACCACCAGGATGTGGCAAAACTAGTTTCATAACAGCTTTGGCAGGTAACATATACTACTTATCAGCTCGTAGTTTTTATGATCATTATGTGACGATATCAGGAGTGTGTGGTTTTAAAAAAATCAAATAGCAGATTTATAATCATGTAAGCATTTCAGCGGAAAGTATGAATCTGACTAATTGTAAAGTATATCAACAGAACGGTTATTCACTTAAAATTAGTATGTAATATGTTGACATTGTTATGAATGTTAGAACAGTCATTTGCCACACTTTTTCGTTCAATTGCAATGGAATAAATCGTTTCCCAGATAAACCTTTTTAAAGATATGTATACATATTTTGTGTTTCACCTTTTCATTCTCTGTTCAATTTGCACTAAAATTTGTTGTTTATTTAATATTTCAATAAAAATAATGGTCATTTGTCAAGATAAATTTTATTGCTTAACCCTGAATAAATAGAAGTATGACGCGTTATACAAGCGATTCGTATTCATAAATTTAAACAAATCAAGACCGAAAATATTTACAGAATGCAGTGAATTCACTACATTTCATTACTTCCTTTTCAGCTACATACGAACCAATAATTTTAGTTAGTTCCAACTTTGATATATTTACTTCAGTTTTATAGATAGAGTGATATCAATACACAAGCTCACATACCGAAAACGTATTTCAAATCTAAATATGCAAATGTTTATTTTTTAGATCAAAAGTAATTGATCCAAATGATAGACTGAATTTGCTATGTGAATGATTGTGGATTTTATATTAAGCTTAGATTAATTTTTTTTACCAAAAGAGGTACCTAAAAACGGTTTTCAGCATATCATCTCTCATCTTCATTAACATTTTAGTATAATTCCATTATTTGTTAATCTTAAAAGATCCATTTATATGTAGACAATTTTACCGTTATTGGATTATCACTTTCGTAATATCAGAAACAAATGTCCATTGGCTAAGTTTTCACAGCTCACGTCATCGTAGCGTGTGCAAATGAACTAATATTTTCAAAGATGACACTTCTTTTTTGAGGTTGATTATTACCAAGTATTTTTTATTAGTCACTTGATATCATATGAATTAGGGGTCTCATTTTGTTTTTACTATAGCTTGTATAAGTTTTAACAATTTGATTGCTAAACTTAATGAATATAACAATGAAATTATTTTCTAGGCCATTTAGATTATAGTATTAGCATACTAAATTTAAGCGAATTCGGCATGACGGCAGATCGATTAGATCATTTATTAACGCATGCACCGCTTCAAACTATCATCTTACTTGAGGATATTGACGCAGCAGTGCATAATCGTAACACATCAAATAATGATCGACTTCATAGCAAAGGTTTGTTTCGTTTAGTTTTTATCGTTTAATAATTGTCATTTAGCTTATGAAGGTATGCCAACACTCACTTTAAGTGGATTGTTAAATGCACTAGATGGTGTAACCTCGACGGATGGTCGCATCATATTCATGACTACAAACTATATCGATCGGTAAGTATCTGCATTATTGTATACAAACTTTTTCCCCACATTAACTCTAATTTCCCAGGTGCAAGTTTGTGTAATTTCATTCAGACCATATTATCCAGTAATTCAAACTGAAGTAGACAGAGTGGCGTTCTAGCCTGCTTCTTGATAGATAAAAGTTAAACTCTTCGGCCATAGTCGATACTTTGAACAACTATCAGTAAAGTTGGAGTAATTTCTTCTTAAATACAACTGGTTCACTAAAATTATGCATTTTAAATTTCATTTATTCGTAAATAAATTTTCCATATTGGTAATCATTAATGAACGAATTCAAAACAAACTGACACTATAGTAGGTAGAACAGAGGTAATTATCAATAGCTGAATTCAAATGATTTTTTTCTGTTATGCTTAGGTGTTATTTATAGTTTATCTATTTATTTAACAACATGAAACTTAGCACAACATAGTACTAAATAATCAAATGGGTCTTGAAGTATAGATAACATTATAAGAAAAAGGAAGTGCATTTGGACAGAAAAGAGTGATAGTAAATCATTAACATGAACACTATCAAGAGGAGAGAGGCATTTACGCATACAAACAATTAAACCCGGAATTACTTCAGCTAAAAAAGTTACTTTATCATTTATGAAGAATGTTGGGGAAATTTAAGCAGAACTGCCATTTTTTCTGTCTTGAATCAAGTTTGATAACGTTTGAGTTGGATCACCTCTAGGACCCCGAACGGAGCGGTGGTGGACCGGCAGGTGCCACTCCTACACTGCTTTAACTCAAATGATGGTGACAACCCGTAAACCTCTCCGCTTTTCCTAGTCAGTCCCAGCGTCGGGAATTAATGCAAAATGTGTAAGCCGCTAAGGCGACATGTCCGACCAACCGAAGCCAATGTTTTAGGGCAGTGAAATCATTTGAGTTATCGTCACTGTGTCCAAAAACGCATTATCAAACCTCAGCAAGACTAACAATGTAATAATTATATTAATTAGCCGGACTCGATAACACACTCGTATTACCGGTCTTTATTTCGGTATTATTATTGCTGATGTAATAACTCCACCTGCAGCTTTGTAGAATACTTGTAGTTAATTTTTTGATTCACTGTTTTTTTTCTACTGACAGACTTGATCCTGCTCTAATACGACCCGGTCGCGTTGATATGCGTATACGAGTTGACGTTTGCGACTCGTCCCAACTAATGCGCATGTTTAGTCGCTTTTACCCACAGTGGACGTCGTCTGACATTAATAATTTAGCTCAAAAATTTGCAAGTCTATTAAAGGATACACCTTTGAGTTCAGCACAAGTTCAAGGTTATTTGCTGTTGCATAAAGATGACCCTTTAAAAGCAATTAGTAATATAAATCAACTGTTGTCTCCGTGTGATTCATAAATTTTTAATCTTATACCCAGTAATACGCTTAAAATGTTGCATAATTTAAATTTTCAGGATGGTTTAGATTATTGTTGATTAATTCCATTCAAATTGTTTGTTGTTTATAATCTTGTGTACATAATCTATGTTTTTAATCAAATAAAGAAATTTGCATGAAAAGGTTAGTTAAAATGTCTGAATTTCTACTTGAAATGTGAATTATTATCCAAAAGTTTTCAGTAAATTAGTTATCGGAATATACAGATGATATCTATCTGTCATAAATTGTGGTTGGGGATATATTGCTTTCAAAATTCCTCTAATTCGAACGCGATAGACCGGTAGCTGACACGAAACGCTCCGACTATAATTCCCAACGTAGTGGTAGACGGAGAAGTTGGTAGAAACAGGAAATTCAAGGGGATAAATTTCAAATGAAACGAATCAGTATAATAGCATCAAAACATGATTTTGAGACAGTCAAATTAGGAAACTAAAAGTGAGAATAGCTAAACAGATAACAGCGAATTTCATTGCGGAAAACTGAAATAGAAAAGAATGAATCCGCAGTTAACGTTACATTTAAAAACCGACATTTGAAAAGAGCTAAAATCTCCTTAGCAGTGCACAATCGTACCCAGTAGTTGGTTCACACGAATTAAATCGCATAATAATGTGAGTTTTATCCCGACTGTTTTTTCTATCTTGATATGGTGGTCGGGCTTGCCTATCGTAATGAACGAATCGAGCTAAACTGGCTGTAACGATCGTTCCTCAAGGCCCTACCATGCCAGATAGGTCAGTTGAAGAACTAAAAGCAGCAAACCTAAGGTCCAAAGGCGATGTCGTACTACTGACTGTACAGAGGTGTGACAGCACTAAGGTGTTTCCTTCAGACAACCGACATAACTGTGGTGCTGCCTTCCCACAAAGTGGGGTTAGAAAAGGTCGACCCTAAAAATGCACACCTTGCCTTATACCACGGATATCCGTCTCCGGTAGTAAGGTCCCAACAAGTACGCAGCCAACACGAAAACTCACAAAACGTCGTGTGATCGGCCTCAAGCGGTTGTCTCTTGGGCTCCGCAGTCACGCTCCCAGGTCAGTAAGACCACCTCTAATCCAATTTCATTTTCAGACTCCTACAAAAGAACCCTTGCACTTTGTGTGCGACCGGGTAGTGATAACCGTCCTCATACCTCTAACAGCACTCAAGGCCATTGTATTCATAATCAACCTTCCTCTTCACCTCCTGTTTTTCTTCATACATCGACTTCCAAAACTAAACTTCTTTCGGCTTCGTCCTTAAGTGTCACCATAGTCAACGATTATAGTGCGCAAAACACTGTACCAGGTCTAACTTTGTCATAGACATGCTTTCAGATACAACGCTTTCATAATCTGAAATTCCAAGGATTGCTATTATACCAAAATATTCTCTTTTTGAACTGGTCCTGTTTAATGAAAACGATGACAAAATGCAGTCATCTGACCACCTCAAGTGGTCTTAGAATACGCACATGACATAGTCCTATTTGGTGAAGACACTGATAAAATGAAGGGTCTTCTGGTAGCACTAAGCAACAATGCCAGAATGTTTAGAATGCGCTTCTCTCCCTCTAAATGCAAGTTGTTGCTTCAGGACTGGTCTGTGTCAACAACTGGACTAGGGATAGGGAGTGAAGTAGTCGAACACGTTGACAATTTGACTTATCTTGGAAGTCTGATCAGCCCTAATGGGTTGGTATCGGACGAATTCGAAAAGTTCGTTTGACCTTTGCCGACTTACGTCAACTATGGTGAAGGTGAGATACCCGTCTCACAATTAAGGGACGAGCATACTGCGCGGCAGTTCGCTCTATTCTACTTTACGGCTGCGAAACATGGCCATTAAGGGTGGAGGATACTCGTAAGCTACTAGTATTTGATTACAGATGCCTTAGAAATATTGTTCCCATCCGCTGGGATCACTGGGTAAGTAATCGTCAGATTAGATGCAGTGTATTAGGGAATGATGGTAAATCAGTTGATGGGGTTGTGAATCTTCGTTGATTGAGATGGTTGGGTGACATATTGCACATGTCCAACCACCGACTACCACGGCGCACAATGTTGACGGCTAGAAGAAAGTCAAGGGCAGCCAAACCAAAACGTGGCATCAGTGCTTGAAGTCACCAATTCCCCATCTTAGCCATCTTGGTAGATGCAGACTACTTGGTTGGGGTCCGCGTGACTATCGTAACGAATGGTTGGCGACTCTGGGTGAGATGGCTCAATCACTCACAATGGCGTATGTTTATGCACTCTGTCTTCCCTTAAACCATAAGATTAAAATTATTCCATACCTTTCTACGTACGAAATGAGTTTTACTACTTGGACCGATGCATATATGTGCCTCTTTCTACTTTGTAGCTGACTGACGGGGAGGGTTTTATGAGATATATCTATTCATTTCGTAATAAACGGATGATTACTAAATTCTACATACACTAATACTCCCAGTAACCAATTGTATCGCAATATCAGAAGAAACGTAAAATTACTTCTACATTAGTTTTATCAACATCTTGGAAACATCGGAATCCTGTAACGAGATTGTAAGAAGCATAATAATACCGTTTAGATTTCGAAATTCCTGTAGCACAAATTATTAATACATACCTGTTCCATGTTAAACAGTCATTCAAGTCACATGGATGCTTGGAATCAATCTGTACTGACATGCACATTCATCGTATATATATATATATATATATATATATATATATATATATATATATATATATATATATATATATGTTTATGTAATTGAAAAACCAAGTAATGCAGTTGTAAAAAATTTATACTAGTAAGTTTATTCTACTATACAAATTGTTTCTTTTCTGTTTTAGAAATAAAAATGATCAAGTTATGGGCTTTCGAGTGTTTGATGTTTCTGAATTATAGGTCTCGAAATCCCAATCAACTGAACTTTTTTCATTGATTGTTACATAACACTGAATTATATCTCCTACTTTCCATTGTGAAATGAAATTCTTTGCGGATAAATTTTGATTCTCGCTATGAATATCCTGAACTTCAGGAGAAACTAATACAATACCACAATCTACTCCTTTTCGAATACTTTCAACAACAGATTTTTCATGACGCAGTGAGTAACAGATAGCTCGATCCACTATTGTATTTTTAGAAACAGAAAAGTCTTTTTGAGCGGTGGTCGGATTTTCTCCATGTTTATTGTTTGATGTTGAATGGTGAGTTGGACGGACAATGCGGTAACATAATTCAGTTGGTTCACCATCAACACCTAAAAATGATAATAGAATGCAAAATAAAAAAAATGTACGAATAACATTTAATGCCCTCCCTTATTACAGCCTAAGTTGATGCATCGTATAAAAGTAATATGTAATACATCGAAATATCGAGCTTAATGTATTATCACAGAATACTTCGCAAAATTGGCAAATCTTAATATCTGATGCATAATGGAAAAATTCTTTGAGGAACAATCTATTGTTTAGATAGGTGGTCTATTTACGTTTAAGATATTCTAGTACTCGTAAAGGTGAAAATGACCAACGATACTCCATGTATTTGCGAACTACGAAATAATTCTCAATAGAAAAACTGGGAAGCTAGATTTTTAACAGCAAAGCAGTTCAATGTTGCTTCATTGAACTTACTACTAGGCTATTCATTTCACTGAAGTATCAGTCAGCCATATTACGTAATAATTGACATATGTATGGCAAAATTTACAAGCCTAGCTATCGCTGATTAGAATGTAATTAGAAATCTAGATTTAAAACCACTACTGTATTGAATAGATTTTACATCGAGCAAGGTAAAGAATCTACCTACAAGAAATTATGCCAGGATATTTTAAACTTGATACTTGAGATTTATTTAAACAAAAATTGGTCCAAATTCACGAAAAAATTATCTTGATTGTGTTATGCTACAAGTTATTAGAAATGATCATTAGAATTAGCCTTTTAAATCGTTGACCAGAACAGCTTAATGAATGGATAGCTCTTAACTACTTATAGGCAAAATATAATATGAATGATTAATTATTTTTCCATTCCATAACTACACCTGTGTAAGTGCTTTATGCAAATAGTTCCTTTTGTACGGCCGAGAGTGAGGAGAGGTCAGCTTTCCCTCTCAAATGGCCACATACAACCACTGGCAGGGAAGTCCTACTCACTGCCTTCGCGTGGCCAGGGTGTTGTTTACGAAGTTGAGAGGACGAAAAGCGAATGTCCGGCGCTTTAACGGGCTTGGTGGACACGGAGAGTTCACTTAGAGCAGTCAGGAAACCTTGATTCCAAACCAATGGTGCACATGGGCTCCAGTATCCTGAAGGAACAAATGGCGTATGAACCAATTGTTGGTCACCAGCTACCATGGGACTGCATCCTGACAACGCTCAACTGCCTTGTGGACCAGATCATTAGGTGTGGCCCTCCAAGAAAATCACCTGCTTCGGTTTGGGTACCCGGGCAGTATCCCAGCTCTCACACAAATCGAATGATTTATGCGACGAATATCTCTTTAGTGCCTTCTTGTACCAATGTTTATGCTTAAATAAATTTTTGTATTTAGACAACCTTTATAAAGTAAAATTAACTTGCACATCACATAGAGTACGTTCTGAATATCTAGCACTTTTCTGTCATTGATATACAAAGGAATTCACTTGAAATCGAATTTTAGCCCTCATATTGATGTATTTGAGTAGATTAATAACAAATTGTTTTGCTGAACAATGCTAAGTGAAAACTGTTGTCAGGTTCGTATTCGTGTAGAATTCGGGAATATCCCAGTGGTATATAGTATGAAATCACCAAGTTAATTTAATTTCAGCAACTGAAATATCACATTTAAGTAGTCTTTTTGAAAGGTCGATAATAAAACTAATACGATCTTTATAACAATCGAAATGTTAGTAAACACTGATCAATATTGGATATGAAGTGTGCTGCGTCCTTTGATTCCACAACGTAGTATTGATCAATTTCGAAAATACATACAGATGTTTACGGAATAAATTATGTGGAACAATAAGCTTGGGGTTTACCAATCCAAGACAAGTAACATGAGTACTCGTAACATACAAAAAACTGACAGGAAGTAAACATATATAATCTCACCTAGATCTGTGAGAATAGAGCCTATTTTAGTAATATTAGCGATAATATTTCCTTTAATACATCTACATCCAGCAACTGGTAAGAGTCCAGTCTTCACGACGCTTTTAGATGCTTTAATTGTAAACAGCTGGAGAATTTCTGCTTCACCTGAAACAAATGAAAATTTATTAAGCAAGCTGGTATACATGAATTGAAAGGAGAAAAATCATAATAAGAAAATTTATGGATGAGTGCGTGTCTATTTTACATAGTTAATAACGAAACTGTTAATCTGTTAGTGGTGATAATAAATAAACATTAAAGATGGTAATATGAGTTCGAAAATACAAAATCGAATTATTGTAGACGTTGTAGAGAAAATAGTCTGCCAAATGAAAGAGAAAACTTATTATAAACCGTTGGAAAATCAATAAACTACGTAATAATATTTTCATTCAAGTTTTTGTTCTTTGTAGCCACAGGTTTTTGATAATTTAGGTCTCTTTATTCATTGTCTTACAAGAAACAAAAATCTATGGAGTCGTTGGATGTCGTCACTAAAGTATAAGTTTACTGAACTTTCTATACGAGCAACAGTTGTTTACTCTGATCAGAGCGTAACGTGTTTCCATACATCTATGGATGACGTTACAAAAAGTGACTGATCATTTGATAGTTGTACTCACAGAATCATCTCTGACCAATCTAGTCATTTAAGTTGCTGTAGATTAAGCATCCTAAAATAAATTGCATTATTCTATAATAGGTGTCTCATTAACGTTATACAGTGAACCATTACTGAATTAAAGCAAATATTCCCCGCTGAATATTAGTGTGGGATCTATAATTATGGTCGAAAAGTGAGCATACACTAGCATGGGATATGTTATTAAAATATCAGCACATAAATGGTATCAGTTCTACGGTGACCAGAGAAAATGCATCGTAATTAATAAGATCAAGTTACGAGTGATCCTAGAATATATATTAATATGTATTAAGAAACCATTTATTTGTGAACAGTCCTGGTAGTTTGACGCTAATGAGAGAGGAATTATTACATCTGATTAGTATTTACATGTTTCAGCATATGAGTTTTAGTGTTTATTGAATGGAACAATGGAGAGAGGTGGTTGTATATGGGGCTTTTAGGATATTAATGAACTTATCAGGCACACCATTCTTCAACAAAGAACAGTCCTGTCCGGCAAATCGAAGGCAGCTTTGATGTCAAGAAACACTACGATCATTGGCCTTTGATAAGTATGGCAGTGTTCTAACATTTGGCGAAGGGTGAAGATATGATCAATACATCCTCGACCAGAACGAAACCCAGCCTGCTCCTCGCGAGTCAATCTTTCTCGGGTTTTGAACCACCTACGAATTATAACAGAAACCAATAACTTGGACGCAATCGGAAGTAGACTTGTCCCCTGATAGTTGTTACAGGAACGACGTGAACCCTTTTTAAAGATAGGGACAACTATCGACTCATTCCAAGACGTTGGTACGCCCTCTAGATCCCAAACCTCTGTAAACAACGTTGTCAGTTCCTTAGTCAAAAAGTCACCACCATCTTTAAAAAGAGCCGGAGGTAAGTCATCCTGGACAGGTGATTTGTAGCGCTTCAAGAGTTCGAGTTCCTTGCGGACTTCCGCCTCATTTGGTGGATCAGTCGTCGCCTGCCATAGGGGGCAGGACAGTCTGACCGATACTGCCGGACCAGCAGGCCAGTTGAACTTCCCTTCGAAGAATTCTGCACATCGTCCAAGACGTTGATGGATGTTAGTGATTGGCATCCCATCATCCTCGCAGATTGTTTCACTCACATCAGACTTCTTGCTGCCAGTGGCTTGGATGAGCTGAAAGAGCTTCCGGTAGTTACCAGATGCAGCTGCTGCTCCCAGCTCATTAGCATGCTCCGACTACCAGGCTTCTCGGTCCTTATGCAAGCTTTGCCCAATTTCGCTACATAACAACCTTTGTTTGTGGTCAAACTCACGGTCACCCGGAGTAGACCGACGGGCTTCAATGAGTTGTAAGGAACCAGAAAAAACCCAGTGCTTATAAGCGGGACGTTTCGCAAACCCACAACTGACTGTACCCGCCATTTCCATGGCGTCATGCAATTGCAACCAATGCTCATCTATACCTTTCGGTGGAATGGTAGCTAGCTTAGAAGCTAGCTCGGTTCGATACTTACTTGCAACAGAAGTTTCAACCAGCTTGCTAACATCAATCCGTTGGTGGCGGTCACTTTGTTGGCCACTGAAAAGTAAGGTAAGATTGGCACAAACCAAGGAATGGTCAGAGTCCAGATAGGTACTCCAAAAGGAGCGGCAGTCTTGTACACAACCACACCAGCGGTAGATGATCGCGATGTGATCAATCTGAGTCCAGGCTTGGGATGCAGATGGAGGACGTCGGGTGGCACTTCGGCGATGACTGTGCCGAAAGTTAGTGCTAGCCAGAAACAGGTTATGGTCTGTGCACAGTTGCAGTAGACGGTCACCGTTATCTGATCCGAGACAAACAAGTCCCCATCGGCCACCTAAACGATTCTGTTTTGTGCCTAGACGCCCGACCTGAGCATTCAAGTCTCCAGCCAATACTACAATATCTGTCGAACGCACTTTCTGGAGAAGAACAGTTAACTTGTGGTAGAATTCATTCTTGATCGCATCCGGGCTGCCATTTTTCGGAGCATAGGCGGAGATGACGAAAAGACATCGTTTCTCACGCCGATTTCTTCTCACTTTGATGGAACTTTCTAATCTAACATCACATAACCGACTGTAAATGAGGATCCAATCGATTAGTGCTGCCTCATCTCTAGCACTCAGTGAGACACCAATGCAAGACCAGAGTCTTCAATATGGGTCTCGACTAGACAGCAAACGTCGATATTAAGACTTTCCAAAGACATAGCCAGACCTATCTGTTGTCTAACCCGCACAAGTGTGCGAACGTTGAAGGTAGCCAGTTTGGATAGTGCACGTGGTTTCAGAAAAACTGCTTCAGTACACATATTCGGTGGTAACATTCAATTTTCAACCGGAACGTGACTCGAGAACGTTTAGATACAATCGAATCTCCACCAAAGACGAGCCGCTGTATAAGTATAAAAGAGGGTGAGTAATATGGTAAATAATAATAATTTGAATCATTTGATTGTTAGTTGAAGCAAGTAAAGTAATTTCCATAATTATAGGCAGTTCATCATTTGTGTGTGGGCTGTGATAGTGCCCGGGTGCCCAGACCGAAGCAGGTGGTTATCTTAGGGGGGGCATACCTCGAGCGTTTGACCTAAAGGTCTAATCCACAAGGCAGTGGAGCATCGTAAGGAGATACAGTCCCATGGTAGCCAGTGACCAACAATTGGTTCCGCAGGATACTGTGTTTTTCATAAATAATATCTGCATCCGACACTTAAGCGGCTTTGTATATATTAGGATTAAGCAAAACATACAGAAATACAGTAGTGTCCTTGATGTCTAATTTTAAGATAAACCAACTTAAATTCATTCAAATTCAGGGAAAATAACTATTCAGTACATTTAGAAACTAACCAATTATCTTCTCCACTGATAATGGTGGTAGCTTTTCATTCAATAGTTCCCTAACTTCTTCAGCCAATCGATAAATAATATTGAATTCTTTAATTTTAACACAATTCTGTTCAGCTGTAGTTGTTGCTTCTGGAAGAGCATGAATGTTGAATAGTAGTACATTTGCTAAAATCAAAAAAATTCATGCACTATTAAGTTTAAATTTTAACTGTAGGCATCTGAATCATATCTTCAAACCCATGACACTAGTTTGTGCATGCTAGTAGAATCACTGGCAATTAGGTTGTTGGTTTACATGGTTATAATGATTTTACTAGTTAAAAATCCATACAGGTAGATACGTTCTAAGTAATTTGTACATGAAGTGCTGGAAATTGATTTCGCGTCACAGTCCTTGTGATTAAAGAAATCACGCTCATTTTTATAGACAATCTTTATCCCATCGAGTGTAATCTAATAGTCTTATGTATAATGTATATAAAAAAACAACAAGAAAGCACCAGATGAATTAAACAATATAAATTGACTTTAGCATTGTATCCTCTAGTTTAACAGATCATATGACAGTACCTATACAACAGAAACATTTAAATATATCAGAAGTTTGTCCGAGTTTCTATTCGACGTGAAGATGGAAAGATTTTATACAACAGAAGAATTTGTACCATGTGTGACAAAAACACAGGACAATTCAAATAGTGTACAAATAATGTAACCACAAATATTCACATTTAAAATATTGCTAAGTGGGATAACAATTTATAGGGGTAACCAGCATAGATATTTTTAATGTATTTACAATATTTCTACATTTTCTTAACTGCAAGTCTTTATTCGACTAATTATCTGTTGCTATATCGCATACCATTCGCAAATTGCAGTAAGTCAGTAATAAACTCACAACTTAGATTTATATCACAAATATTCAAGCTGCAGATACATTGGATGTATTATTTATATTGTTTTGTGATCTGAAATTTTACGTACGGACCCAAATTTGAATTATACAAAGTACTTGTCCATCTCTTTGGTGTTCTATTTAATAGTTTTAAAAATAGGTATTTCCTAAGGGAAATTAAACGTTAGCATATACAGTACATGTAATGACGTTTCTGTTGTTAAAGTAGATAAAATTATGATAAGCATGAATATAGAAACTACCTTTTTGTTTGTAGTGTCCAATCTTAATTATTTTAGTAATTTAGATTAAAATGGTAAGAAGCACAGAAAGGAAGACAGACATCTGGTCAATGCGATTTCATTATTTGCAAAATTTGGTCGCGTCCATGTAGAAGATACAACCTCCCAAGAAAATTGAGCTTCCAATCAAAACTTGTGACTGTTGATCATGTGAATTAAACAAGAGAAATACTGTTTTTACCTATTGACGAATATTATTTATAGACTTTTTACTTCTGAGCAGTGATTTTACGGGTTTAAAAATAGCAGAAATCATATTAAAGGGGATTCAAGTTTCACTTATTGTAAACATATGTAATATGAATAACAACACTGTTCCGCAAAGCTGTCAATAAACTCGAATGTGACAAGTGAAAACTAACAATTATCTAAAGAGTTAGATTTTCAGAAGCATTGATCAACTACTTTATGCTCGCATCGAGCAATTTTCATTTTTTTATAGTGATTATTTAAGACAGTAACGTCTCCGAAACGCTCGCTGTTTCCAAGCTCATACGGATATAGAAGTTTTGCATAAGTACTATATAAATACACATAACTGATAGATAATTACATCAATTATATAATGACAGTGGTATGTTATGATTAGGGTCATTCATATTTTTAAAAAATATAAATTCTGAATACATGACAAACTGGTTTTTTGGAATCAACCTTTAAAAAACACAAATCAACAAGATGTTGTCCATGATGAAAAAATCAAAACAATCTAATACAATAAAACCAACCTTTAACTGCAGCGGCAGCGTCTACTTCAAATTCAGTCAACGGACCAACACCGGTAATACAGTATTCTATTTTACATTGATCTGATGAATAGGTAGAAAGAAGTGTTTTTATCGCCTCTAAACTACCCTGTACATCACATTTGATTACAAGTGGTAAGGAAATTCTATTAGAATTTTCCTTCCATAAGCTAGATTCGGCTGAATCACGTTCTAACTAAATAAAATTTTAAAAAATTAAATAATGTAAAGTACACTGATGACTGAGATGAAAGTTAAGCGGATTTCTCCGACTACGTTATCCTTATTAATTTGTATTCTATTACGCATTTCAAGAATAATCAACTTACTAAGTGAAAGAACTAAGTGGTCAAGTATAGATTTATCAAGTCAGCTCTACGCCACAATTTGGATATGATAGGCTGGTTATATTACACAGACATCCAAGCCGAAGAAGCGACCAGATCGATCACCGAAATCAAAGTACTATAACAAATAAACCACCGGACTACAAGATATAAGACTAATAGGAAAACTTTCAACATATAGGAAGGACGCCAGATCAATCTAACGCTTATTAGTTTTATAAAGTCTGAGCGTTATCAGATTGTTCGAAATACATTGCAGTAATGTATCACACAACTCTGATAATCTTTGCATTATTCAAATGTTTCTTAAGAATTACTTAACTTATTAAAACTGATGCTTCAGTTTGTGAGAGTAGAAATATGATGAGAATACAGGTGCATTTATATTCAGACACTCGAATATGATTTCCGAAATTGTAACTTGTAATACACCTTGAATGTACAGTATCGTGGGTTTAGAAATTGTTTTAACAAGCTTAAATGTAAAATATATTTCGATAACTTGATACTGATGAGTTTTTAACGCATTTTTGTTTGCCAATAACTGTCATTTTTTATGTAAATTGAGTTTTCTATGAAGTATTAAGAGAACTTGACATTAATGAAAAAACAATCCTATTCATTAGTCATACCAAAAGCGGTGAGCCATGAATAACTTGGTTTTATATTCTGAATATAGTTTAGAATAAACAATTAGTTAATTGGTAAGAAAACGATTGTTGTATTTCCAGAACAGACAGTTCAATAAATCATGTTTCCAAACATAATTTCCTGAAATTATTACAATGATTGATTCGTCATTTTTATACGATAAATAATAGGTTTTTTAACATTAGGAATTGGCGTCTTTTCACAAATACCAATCAATATCATGAAAAGCCGGGATTGTGCTAATTGTTTAGAGTAGGAAACGATTATTCAAACAAATTTTAGCTCCAAGTAATTAATTAGGATGCTATTGCCCAATAAATCATACAAAGAAATTGATGATCGGCTCGAATAGTGTATCGTAATAATACAGTCTGACGTAAAGTTTGTGTTATTTAATATTTGTAATACCTGGAATGAGATTGCACAAGGAGTTCTTATTGTTGTACAGCAATTGATTGAGTGTACATATTTCTTTAAATTAAGTTTGTACTCATTTAAGAACAGTATTAAGTGAAAACTACTTAGACAATATAGGGTTGTGGACCAGTGGAGCTAAACCTTGTCAAGTGTCAGGAAGGTACCACCGAAGGTGACCGCGCACTATTGTGGACTGATTGAAGTTAGACTTGTATACCAATGGATCCAGGTTCGGAGGACTAGAAGTTAAGCGTTCACACGCGAGACCAAAGATTCGATTTCTGCTTGTGGGATCGTGTATGAACTATGCTGAGAAGTTCCATACTAGAACGGAATGCCTGTCCAATGCCTCCAGGTTTTCAATGGTTGTCGAGCTTTGAACGGTTCGTGACTTTAATGAAACTACACAGACAATCGATCACAGAATGGCTGAATTGATAAAAGTTTTGTATTAAGGAAGAAAATTAAGGTAGTCACATGAGCGGACCTAGTAATTAATCTACACTGAGACAAAATAAAGATTTGACAACTAGGGTGAATTTATGACCTGAACTTGTATACCTTTAGCTTTGAATTAATATTAAGCATAATAAATAACATCCCAATAGCTTGAATTGTCAAGTTCATAGTTTTTGTATGTACATATTAGGAAAAATACCTAATTCGTGTTTGTGGTGTAAAATATTCCGATTGAAATTTACTGTTCTGCATGATAATGCTTAAAGAAACCGAAAAATTTTGTAGGAACGAAGAGATTTCAGTTATATTAGTATTTTCATTTATGGTAAGTTGGAATTGATAGACTGTACGCGAATAGACGATAGACATACTTTAAGTTTCCGCCACTGACGTAGATGAAGGCTCGAACGTTTTTCTGAGTATTTCTCGCGATGTTCTCGATGATGAGACGCTCGAAGATCATATGCATCACGGTCTTCTTCAACTTTGTCCTGTACCTTTATACGCCGCCGATATCGTTGAACTTCATTAGCTCGCTTCTAAAGTGATTCGTGAAAACGAAAAAGACAACAAAACTGACAGTCTAATTATTCAACAGAAAATTTCAGATAATATATACGAAATGCATTACAAGTTATTCATATGAAAACATGAAAAGTATCTTATAGGGATTTATATAGACTAGTGTCAAATCAATGAGATACATATATTGGACAAAAAGTCGATATGTTCGATAATTGTGAGGAATTACTAAATTCCAAATAAAGAATCGCATTAAAATGAAATGTATTCAAAATACCAATAATTTATGGGCGTGTTATCTTCATAATTACTACATTTTGCATGCTTTAATCGTCGGAAATTGAGAAATAAAGATGTTTATAGTAAATACATTAAATTCAAATGGATTATATGCTATATACTTTCTGTAGTATTAAGTAATGGTATTACATGAATATCATTTCAAGACATTTTACACTGAACGACATGTAAAGTTCTAATTTTGATGCATATTCAATAATCTGCGGATGTTATATTGTATATTATGTATTATGTCGATAGGTCACGCAATTTGCATATAGCAGAAAAATAAGTAGGATGAAGATATATCCCTGTAATCGACCGTTTAGCTGTTTCTTCAGCGAGGGGAATGTCAGTGATCCCAACAAGTCGGTATCTTAAGCAAACATCAGTCATGAATATGGCATCAATTAATTGGTTTCCGTTCAGCTATTTAACAATCAAGATAAATGATCGAAACCGTGATTAGTATTCAGAAGTCGTATGGAAACATGTTTGCAATGAACAGTTCTGATAATGATATCAGTTTGCAACGAAAATCATCTTCATCTTGAACGAATCTCCATAATCCCATTCAGTGGAAATATGTAATGACCTACAAGTCATATAAAAAAGCAAGAAGTACAAGACTTACCGTAGATTCTACCTCTAGGATAAGATCTCCTGCAGAGGGGAGATCTTTCCAACCCGCTATCCGCGCTACAAATCCGGGTTTAACTGAATCCACGAGTTTTCCTGCATCGGTTAGCAAGATTCGTGGGGTACAGATTGCTTCACCAGCTATAAGTGGACCACTATTGGGTGATTTACGCAAAACACCTCGAGTAATAAGACAGGTAGCCGTTTTGCTATAAGAGAAGAGTATTAAGTATCTGTTGTATAGAAAGAACCCAATAATAGTTAAGCGAAAATCAAATAAATCAAAAAACTCCGTTCCTTTAGATTGTGAGTGAAATCAGAAACAAACGACACATCACGTTACAGGAAAGAAGAAATTGGAAAAATATTAGTCTATAGTTGAAAACACCTATGCACCTAACAAAGGTACATAAGACAAAATGGTTTGTGTTAATTTTTCACATAGTTTGAAGATGATTTTCGCCTCGAACTGATATAATTTAAAGTATCAATGAAAATCAGGGAGCATTAGACAGCTGTTTCCTTTCAGTTTGAGATAATTCAATAATAATGATAAGATAATCAAAATAATTAAGGCCAAGGTAACGATAACGATAAGACGTACTTCTTTTGTACGCATAGTTCTGGTTTAAGCTCCTGAATGGTAAGAGCTTCGGCTATTTTTAAGAGTTGGATACGAAGAAATCTGGGGAGATTTGAACGAATCACATAAACAACACTAAAATCAGATTGTGGATCTATAGAATCGTTATAGTCGATTAGGTGTTCAAGTATAGAACTCCTAACTGCTATAAGAGTGAAAGGAAAGCAGTTAGGAGTACGTCTTATCGTTATCGTTACCTTGGCCTTAATTATTTTGATTATCTTATTATTATTATTATTAATAATATTATTATTATTATTATTACTGCATCCCCCCCTTTACTTGTATCTTATATTCTCATTGTTTTATTCGTAAATGCTCATCATATCACCTTATTTATTTTTACACGTCTATGACCTTTAATTATTATGAGAAAAACATTTTAATCATCTTATTATATTCACCAAATCTATTGTTATTATTATTATTCATATTACGTAATCTAGTATTATAACCCTTTCATTAACTGTGTTCACATTTCCTCACGGAATTAGTACTTTTACAAAAACAAAATTTTCATATATATACGATTGTACAGCTTGATAATAACTTCGTTGAAAAGAGATCCCTTCGCTGAAATTCGTGTTTTAATTTTAATGTTTATAAGTGTTGAGTATGGACAAGCATCATATTGGAGAAATGGTTTTAAGAGAAAATAGCATGTTTTGAATATTTTTAAACAAAATTGCAATAAATTAGACAATAATCGATATTAAACACATAAACAAGTGTACAAATACTAACTAATAATTACCCGATCCCATGAAGTGTTTCCGATTCTAAAACAATGCCTTCAGCCAATCCGGTATGATCTGCTTTCAACTGCATTATTTCAGCTTGCAGAATAATAGCATCTAATAATTCAGAAAGATTTATTCGTTTTAATGCTGATATTGGAACTGCTTGTATATCTCCACCTAATTGTTCAGTTAAAACTTCATACGTAGCTAGACCTTGGACTACTTTATCCTAATATATATATAAAAAAAAACGAAATTAGTATCTTTTGGCTGGGATATCATTCGATGATTATGTAAATATTAGCATAAAGTCTAATTACACATTTTACATTTTAACTTTTATTTATCAACAATACATAAAGTACATACAACAAGCTAAAGAAACTCTAGTTAGAGGTCAATCAAACAAGACATTTGACTTAAATACACGAATAAATGAAAACAACGAAGTCTGTAAATATCACCAACTACATTATTGGTTTCGTAATAACAAGAAGCTTACTTCTACACGAAGTAGACGTTAATGATGTCCAAAACAACAATAAAAGCTCGATAATAAATTATCTAGTACAGAGAAGTGAACAACATTAAGCATCCATGGGAACTACAAATTGAATCCATCACTTTACAAATTACGTTAGGTTTGATTTAAAATTTGATGATATCCAGGTTAACACCAGTGACGTGAATGTATATCGCTTGATCGTGCAGATTGTCATTTACTTATTAATGTACTTTTAAAGTTAAAAACAACACTTGCAAAACACAGCATAACACAATATCTAATCTAATGTATAAATCCAAACGCCAAGAGTTATTTAATACACATTTAGGACCTAGCACAACACAGGTAAAACATACAAATAAATAGATTTTTCTAATCCAGATATGGTTCAATCTACTGTACTAAAAGAAACGACTTGGATCTTGGGAACATTTCTGTGTGTAGTTTTATCAAATTTGTTATACAAGGACGTTGTTCCTGATAGTTGTAAGCCAAAATACATAGCATTGGTTTTCAGAGGTGATCGAGGTAATGGACCTTCAACCCAACTGTCGGTAGCATTTCTGCCAGTACTCTCTGAGGTTATGGTATCCTTGGTGTACGACAGCTTATGCAACTGCCTGCTATCTTAAAACTTATTTTCACCTCGAAAACAGTTTCAGATAGACCTGCACACGCATCACCAATCTGCTAACGGTGGCGAGATTATTTGGTTCTGCCTAGTTAAGACAATGAAAGAATACAGACTAATGATCACATTAAGGGGCAATGCGAGAACGTGTATAGTGTGTTTCTGTCCGCCTAGGTACTAAATACTGCCTCAAGACTGGTATGCTTTAAGGCCTGAACTAAAGGTGGGGAATGGACTAGTTAAGCGCGTCAGTTACTTCACTTAGCTTGGAAGTCTTATCAACCCTGGTGAGTTGGCGTCTGACAAAGTTTCACCACGTGTTCAAGTAGCCTGGTTGGCGTTTGGCAAAGGACGCCATTTTTGGTGTAAGTGCGTTTACTGGACAACAATTCGCTCCGTTCTTCATGACCTCTAAAAATCAAGGGTATTTGAAAGTCACTGGTGTTTGATAGTAGGTATCATCGAGGCATTTCTAGTGTACTCTGGGACCATTGAGTTGTCAATCTTCACTTTATATGCAGAGTACTATGTAAGTATGAGAAGCTAGTTGACGAGGTGATAAATCTTTGTTGACAGAATATTGGGACATTTATTATGTCTGCCCATCCACTAACCACCTCAATACTCAATGAGACCCGATGTAGGTGTATTGGGATAAATCCAGATGCGACCAAACTAAATCATTGCACCAATCCATGAAAAAATTGACTTTTGAACTGAGCTTTGTAGGTAGGTGCAGGTGAAAACTACCTGGGGGCTCTAAAGGATTCGAAGAGATTTCGTACAATCGGAACTTGTAGAACCTTCTAGACTAGTAACGTGACATGCTATGATTAGACATTTACATAAATTACCTCCTTGGAGATTGGTAGAATCATGATGGTGTTATAGCCAATATCAATAAGTATAAACACTCAAGTTTTTTATACATTTGTGATTTTTACGCAATACCCATTTTAGCTGCATTCTCCATCTTTTGATTTGCGACTATAGGGGTTTTACATGTTCTACTTCTGATAGTTGTATACAGTATTCTGTCGTAATCAAGTAGCGGACTGGCGACGAGGTGTACCAATTGCAATACCAGTAACTCTTGAACGAGTAGAATCTTTGCTTGAACGTCAGGAAAAACGGTATAAACAGTTACAAGTTTGTATCCCGGGAATCCTAACGCAACAAATGAACCTTAATCACAGAAGATTTACTGAATACCCATGTAACCCGCATACCGATTTCATCAACAATCCTATTCATGAAACCTGATTCAAGAAATGTGAAGATTTTTCAAGATCTACCCCAATAAACTTGAACACGAAGGTTACAATAATTTCATTCTTTCAAAGAACCCAGAAGATTTTTCTTTTGATGTAGCAATTGATATCCTGTCGCAAATCTTTGATGAACAGTCATCTTTGTTTAATTATCTATCAGTGCCTCAAGATAACAGAGGCTGGTGATGATGACTGGGTGAAACATTCAGGTTTAGTAAATCGCAACTGCAAGCAACCTAAACAATCGGCAATGATAGAAGATCAGTTTAACAGTCTTATATCTGTGTACAGTCTCCAATCTCCTGAAGATGCTGGTGTCAGTACCAGAATTTTAAGTAAAATTGAACGATATCCAAACATAACGTTACAAAAAGCAACCACAGAATACCGGAGACTGGTAAATTTGAAACATAATACCTCCATGATCGAAAACAATAGCTGGTCGCTATACGTTCATGCTGCATGCGAAAAGATTCGAGCTCACAAAAACCATCCCACATAGATAAATAGCTTTCATCTCGATGCTGGTCATGTGGAAGTTGGCATTACAAGAAGTTTCGTCCATATAAATGTCACCGTAAAGGCCATAAAGAAACCAGTTGGAGAAAAAGAACCCATCGAGATCATCCATGGAATCCCTATTCCAAGAAATACAGACCTCTTGTGATAACTAAATATTGATAGTTCATAACCGAGTAGGCATTTACCGTCAAAGAAAATATGTAACTGTGGATGTTAATAAACACTGTATCTGTCTTCAACTTGATACAGCATTTGACAATACTCTTATCAGCCCAGAAACTTGGAAAACCCCCAGTTCGCCCAACGACGATACTAGCACACAGTGCTTCCGGTGGAAAGTTAAATATTGTTGAAGTATTTTGGACTGTTTCTAAAGGTAATGCAACTACGAATGCAACAATATACATTACAGAGAATCCATCCCTCAGTTTATCGGGGTTAGATGCGATAGAGACACTAAAATTAGCAGACCATTCATCTAACAACATTTGCATCCGAATCATAACTAATAACCACCAGAGGGTAACGAAAAAACAGTGTTACAAAGACATCACCACGTGGTCACAGAAGGATTAAGAGACACATATTATACCAGGGCTAGTGTTGTTATGTAAACGGTAGGAGTAGTGGAAGTTTTATGAGATGGAAAGATGGATTGTTTAAGTCATACACAGTAAGTAGCTAATATTTAGTGACATAAACAAATTCCCTTCAGTGTAGTATTAGACAAAAAATCATGCATCTCTCACAGGTCGATATTGATCTCATGGAAAACTGCAAATAATTGAAAATTAACTAATTAACAAATGTTTCTAATCTACTTTCTCAGATTCTATGTTTTTAATTAAACGAATTATCAAATTCATTTACTATTTCAGAGTAAATGAGCTTTATTCTCTCATCAACAATCTGACTCATGACATCTATTTATAAATCTCATTTGTTTGCGCTTGCTCAGTAAATTCTGTACATAAGTTTTCGCATTATGAGCTTCATCTTCTTTTCCGATATGCTTATGTGGAGTGCTATAACTTGGAATAAAGTATACATGTGCCAGGTTCCATGCCATCTACAACCGATTGGTCGAAAAATTTGGTCATTAAAACAAGCGAACCTACCATGATTTTGTGAGACGTAAATAAAATAAAATAATTATTATTCAGTTGCTTTATATATATATATATATATATATATATATATATATATATATATATATATATATATATATATATATATATATATATTATACATTGCTAAAAACAATAAATTTTTGCTTACCATATTGATATCGTGTTTATCAATTTTATTGATTGCGACAACTATAGGAGCTAAAACGTTAATATACATAATATCCGTTTAGATCGGTTCATAAAGAATTTCATCATATTTAAGATAATAGGCAATTTACAAATTGAATAGACAATCGATTGAATAGTATTTGGAAGCGGAAGTGAGCTTACAATCTTTCATTAACATCGGTTAGGGTAAAATGACAGCATCATTATCTCTTACATCCCTGAAGCATGACTCAAACTTACATTGATCAATATTGAATAAATAATTTAAAAGCCCACCTGGTGTGCTTGTGAGGTTACTGTCGGTTCCAAACCTAGGTAGACAAAGAGGGTTGGACATGGGATTATAAATATAATTCCTTGAAAAACAACATTGCCAAAAAACGCTAACTGGAGAAATCACTCTAACAACTTAGACTCTATCCTGAGTCAAAGAGTCTTTACAGAAAACGGCTGTAACGCCTCAGGCGGTGTGATATCCGTCTATCAATTAAAAGACGGGCATACTGCGCAGCAGTTTGTTTTGTTCGACTTTACGGCTGCGAAAACAAGTAGAAGATACTAGTATATGAGCAGATACCTGAACACCGATTACCACGACGCGCAATGCTGACTAGTGTTGGGGATGCCTGCAAGAAAGTTAGAGGCGGCCAAACCAAGACGTGGTATCGGTGCTTGAAGGTACTAACTTTTGGTCTGAGCCATTTTTGGTGTTCATCTCGTTGTGCTAATGAGATGTGGCAACTTGGACCGATGCATATATGTGCCTGGTCCTACATTGTAGCTGACTGAACGTGACGCATCATGATGAAAACCGATATTTTTGAGAAAATGAGTAGCACTAATATATCTCTCAAATTTAAAGTGTGCCTCATAACAAGTACCTGATAGATGAATGAATTCTTTTATTCTCCCGAGGACTGAAACGAAAGTGGAACCAGTCGCCAAATCTATACTTGAAAGTAGAATTTAACCTCGGTATATACAATACTACTGTGTCAGTGGACTTGGATCTAAACAAAATTACACACCAGCTTCAGATACGCTACGTTCTACATTAATTAAAAACGTCAACAATTAAATGTGTAGAGGAAGTGATTTTGGAACTCATCGCTATACGCCAAGTTCCTTGATTACGAGCAAACATTCGACAACGGCGATAGGAAAACCTTATGGAATTTTTTTGACACTATGGAGTGCCTCGAAAGACTGTCACCAGCATACGAAAGCTTTAAGAGGGACTGAATTTCAAAATTTCCATAGACGTTAGCTATCAGAAAAATTCCAAGTAAAAAAGGCCGATTACTTTCGGATTTTCTTTTTTCTTCTGGTTGTTAACTGAATTATGAAAACCTCCACATCTTGGAATAAGCCTGGAATACATTGTACACCTTGGACGATTGGATCTTTCAGATGACTTAGCCCTTCTATCCCATACATAGCAACACATGCGAAATAAGATAGCCCGTGTAGTAGTGGCTTGCACAGAAGTAGGCCTCAACATTCACAAGGGAGAATCAAGATATTGAAATACAATACCGCAAGCACCGACGAAACCACACCTGTTGGTGAAGCTCTGGAAAAGATAGAAGGCTTTAAATACCTGGGTAGGATCATTGATAAACAAGGATGATCAAATGAAGATGAGGAGGTCAGTATTGACAAAACGAGGGTGACATTCCCACGATTGAAGGACATCAGGAACTACAAAGAACTAACACCTAACATCGAAGTTGGGATTTTCAATACAAATATTAAAAGTTCTGTTGTTCTAAATTGAAAAAGCTGTCTGTGCAAGATACTTTAGATCAATTAGCCAGAGTCTATCGGTAATAACTTACTTTCGCAGAGAACAATTCGACTTTCGACTGATGAGGAAATTAGGAACAGACGCCGAAAGTGAATAAAATGGAATTTGCGAAAATTATCAAACTACATCATACAGTAAGCCCTAATTTAAAATACCCAAGTCAGAAGGAAAAGAGATAGGCCAAATAACACATGGCGTTGTGAGTGGGAAGCAGACATCAAGACCATGTGTTAGCTCCGTACTTATTGAGACCTTACCGCCGGAGACGGATATCCGTGGGATAAGGCGAGGTGTGCATTTTTAGGGTCGACCTTTTCTAACCCCACCACTCGTTGTGGGAAAGCAGCATCGCTGTCATGCTGGTTGACTGAAGGAAACACCTTACTGCTGTCACACCTCTGTACAGTCGGGAGTACGACTTCGCCTTCGGACCTTGGGTTTGTTGCTTTTAGTCTTACCTCTCTTCAACCGACCAGTCTGACATGGTAGGACCTTGAGGAACGATTGTTCCAGCCAGTATAGCTCGGTTGCTTCATCACGATAGGCAAGCCCGATCACCACGTCAAGGTAGCAATAACGGTCGGGTCACTTATTTGGAAAGTTCTATGAACCTTGGTTGGTAGCTGAAGAAATGTCGACAGAGATTCAGAATGTTCGCCTAGCTTAGGACCACTTGTGTCACTGGTGACTTAGGAGAGATACACATCTGCCAATCGAAGGATGAATGTATTGCGTGGCAGTTTGTTCTGTCTCACTTCGTGGCTGTGAAAAGTGGTCTTTAAAAATAGGCGGCATTTGTAAATTGATAGTGCCTGATTATAGATTTCTTTGAAGCATTGACAGTGCACATTGGGATCACTGAGTCAGGAATGTTGGGGTCAGACACAGGGTTCTAGGTAAAAAGACGGCAAATCGGCAGTTGAGGGAGCGAGGTTCTGAATAAAGTCGTTAGGATCGATGATTTGCATGCTTAACCAGCGCCTAGCTTGTTGAGTAATGTTGGTTAGTGTAGGGATAGGTTGGGAAGCTTGGCATCAATCCATGAATTCACTGATTGCCAAAATGAACCATGTTGGTAAATATAGTCTATCTGGTTGGGGTAAGCCTGTTAACAATGGGCAGCAAGGCTCAAAACCGAGCACAATGCCGGAAATACACTCACTCTTAGTCTTCTCTTAGATCCTGAGTTTTAGGATTGTCGTTTACTTCTAATTCTGCACATTCAGTTTTTCTTCTTAAATTATAGTGTGTATGAGTTATCTTTTCTAACATCACTAATATTGTTATTACTTCTATTACCCTGTCATTTTTTCTAATAATTTCATTTCGCTGCGCTGATGTAGTGTTGCAACTTGCACTGTTGCATAAATGTGCCACGTTCTACGTCGCTTATGGATGACTGACTGCTTGATTGAAATATCATACTTTACAAGAAAAGAAGTATACTAACTCGATGAATTCGCCATTTTCCTAACTAGATTCAGGGTCTCCACACATTTGGCGACTGTTTGAGACTAGTTATACATAATATCGTGGTACCGCCTACCAATACCGTTTCAGACATCAATGAGTCATTTTATAAGTTTGAAACTTGAACAATGACCTAATGTCTCAACTTTCATTAAAAAATGAGATACAAAATAATTACGACATAGTTTATTTCAAATAATGGAACACTCCAACACTACTTTCTTCCAGATTACTTCTAAATTGCATGTTTATCGATAAGAACTAGCAAAACCATCTGTTCTTTCTAAACACCAAACAAAGATTACGTTTGTACTAGTAAACGGAATAAACCCATTCAGAGAGTGCAAACTACGTTATCATTACTCAATGCGTTTAAGAAGAGTCATCCATAAAATAAAACAAACTTATGGGGAAACTCACTGTTTGTTTCTTTTGCGTAACGAATTGCCTCAACAGTTTGAGGTTTAACACCATCATCAGCAGCGACTACCAAAAGCATAATATCAGTTGCTTTTGCACTCCGAAAGCGAATACCAGAAAATGCTGCATGGCCTGGTGTATCTAGAAAAGTGATGCTTCTGGAAAATGACACGGGATTCGGATCTGTAAATCCAGCATTGCGTTCAACAGATGACAAAGATACTGTAAATGCGCCAAGATGTTGAGTTATACCTCCAAATTCTTCGTCAACAACTCTACTGGAGCGTAAAGCATCTAACAAAGTTGTTTTCCCGTGGTCCACATGACCCAGGACAGCGACAATAGGGGGGCGTGGTTCACATTTCTCCGAAGGACAAGGTGGTCTAAAAAATGAGGGAAACAAGGTTGAGATAGAAAATGATAACTGAACTCAAATAAATAAGATATAAAAGTAGACATAATATGGGTCGATTTTCCTCATGTAAAAGTGAAAATTATTAATATAATTGGTTCAGCCTGAAACAAAACTGTTAATTAACATTAACTTCGAACTAATACCTAAACATATGTCAGGTAACCAAAATAGCATTTTTTGATTGCAATTCAGTTAAAACACAATTATATGAACAAAGAATATTCTTTTCAATGATTTCCCATCGGGTTCTGTAATTATTAATCCAAATTAATAATCCATAAAATTGGCCAGATTTAAGGCAGAGTACACCATTGTTTGTGATATATAAAACAAAATCAGATGGGTTTTGTGGAGATCGTAGTAATTTCAATGGTTAAGATCATGAGTCAGTTGAAGACAATGGTGAATGTGACGCTCGATTTCGTGGATTAGTTGAAGTTAGAAATTAACACCGTTGGATGCCGGCTCAGTGGTGTAGTGGTTAAGTGCTCGTGCGTGAAACCAGTAGGTCCTGGGTTCGAATCTCGCAGACGGTGAGGTTGTGGATGCGCACTGCTGAGGAGTCCCATAATAGGACGAAACGGCCGTTCAGTGCTTCCAGGTTTTCCATGGTGGTCTAGCTTCGACTGACTCATGATCTTGACCATTAAAATAAAATCGTTAATTTTGGGATGACTAATATGAAGTGCTAACTTGAATTAGTTTATACGCGAAATGAAATTGTGAGATACGGGATCAATAATAACATGGTCAACATGGGGTGAGAGAGGATAATGTAATTACATATCAGAAATTATGCAATATGTAGAGTAATATGATTTAGGTCAGATATAGTAGATAGGGTTGGATGCTGAAAAAATTTCTCAAAAAGATTAGCAAGTGTGACAATAACAATAAGGACAATAGTAAGATGTGTGAATAAGATAAGCTTGGGACATAAAAATGGACATCAATCAAGTTACGTCACCATATTATAAAACTGATTATTAACTAGTTGGGCCCGAAGCTGGCCAGGGTAAAAGAAGCGGCTGAACAGATTTCTTTTGGATGCAAAGCTCTGGCTTTTTGATCCAAATAGCAATTGCTTCAGCCGTCTGCAGGATTCTCAGTCTGACAGAATTAGGTAGACTGATGTTAACACGATATATTATTGCGAAAGATTGCTCCATGTTGGTTGTGTGTTGCGTCTGAATTAAATGGGCTGAAATGAAGCTGTTAACCGTTTTAACTACACATTTGCTTAACCACATTGGGAGGTGCTCACGAGCCCGAATATACAAATTCCTAGAACATCTGCCGATATAAATTGCTCCACAGGAGCAGTTGAATTGATAGGTACAGAAACAGGTGGCTAGTGTAGGCAATTTATCTTTCGACCTCGCAGTGATCATTGGACGTGTGGGAAACACCAAGTGTAGTTTACCTGCATTGAAAGTTTTGTACAAATGTTGTTTCCTATTTTATGATACGATGTGGTCTGTTCGGTTTGTATATAAACCCAGCAAGCCTGAAATAAATGATTCATATTGCAAAGGCTCAGATTGATGTTCTGGACTTAACTGGTTGGACTAGGCGGAAAGCAGGACCAATAAGGACTCGAGACTGCTCGCACGGGTTTTATGCGTCATTGATCCGATCGGTAATTCTTTGCTCTCTGATTGGCGGTATCGTTACGTTATACAATAAACAAGGCACACATGTCACAAGTTACAACCAAAAGTTGTTTGGATTGATCTGCGTAACTTCAGTCTTAGCATTTCACTAGGTGCATTACCTCTGGATTGTAAGCGAATATACAGAGGCTATTTATTCACGGTTAGGCATACTCCATGCTCTCTCTTATTGGCTATGTTTTTATTTATACATTTCTCAAGATGTCCATTCTCTTTCAAGGTCGCATATAATACCTTTGTTTCATCTTCAACCGTACCTAGAGGGCATATGGCCTTGATTATATGGTGCAGTGTCTTGATCAGATTCATTTTGTGTTGCAGAGGAACGAAACTAAGAAAGTTTGTATATTGGCCTGTCCGAGTAGTTTTCTTATTTATGTGATTTTATGAATCGCTCAAGTGTTTTTATAAAGTCCGTATGGTCGTTACAAAGGATAAACGTATCATCCATATATCGGCCGTAAAATGAAAACTTGTCAATCTGTTGTGCCAGTGAGCCGTTTTCTAGTTTAGAGAGAAAAATGTCAGCCAATATGAGACCTAGGTGTGAATCCATCGCGACACCATCTATTTGTCTATAATTTAGTTCATGAATGAATAATTATTATCGCTTTTTGAGATAAACAAAAATGTCACTTCCTAGATATATTTGCAATCATTTAGATACGTTATACGTTATTCGTTATCACTCTCCCAAGGACATCTTTTATGAATAAAACTAAGTATCTAAACTTTAATACCGCCATGTGTGCAAAATGATACACATGAACAAAGAATTAATGATGTAATCCAATAAAGATCCTGTACGTAACTAAAAACAAAATTTGTTTAAACCAGGGGAATTCAGATCTCCAGCATGTGATGGAACCCAGCAAGTGAACAACCACTTACCTAGCTTTGGTCCACACTTTATGTGTGAAGGCTTGTGCAACTACGCACATGAGCAAACCTACGTATGTGAAGTGACACTTGGACCTGGAAACTAGTGGCTAAAGGTTAAACGCCTTAACCACTAAGCCACCAAATCAACTCTACAAAGAATCCCATGTCTCCAACAATTAGATCATAGTAACATGTCAAACAACAAACAAACTGTGTAGCCTAAACACGCCACAACCTAGTTGTTTCACTTCTCAACCTCACAAAGTGAGAATTAATACACTAGATAACTTTAGAGACTAATCCTACCGATGATCGCTCTCAAGCTTATGACAATCATCATTTGGAATAGATAAAACTTAATTAAGCTTCTCCAAAGATACCTATATACAACCACTTCGGCTCATTTGCTCAAAGATAAGTGAATTTGAGCGTAACTTTAATCTTAACAATTCAGTAATCTAGTTAAATGCATTTTTGTGACTAAGAATCAGTAAAGTTTCATTGCAAAAGACAAATGCTTTTAATAACTTTGTCTAAAATGTTTATCTGCAGTAACCAATGGTTATAGGGTATGAAAGTATTAACTTTATGATTGATTTGTCTTAGCTTTTAAGTACTATGCCTCAAATTTGAACCGTGCTCCACTTACTTCGGGTCGACAAACCGGGAAGCACTAATATATCTCTCAAATTTAAAGTGTGCCTCATAACAAGTACCTGATAGATGAATGAATTCTTTTATTCTCCCGAGGACTGAAACGAAAGTGGAACCAGTCGCCAAATCTATACTTGAAAGTAGAATTTAACCTCGGTATATACAATACTACTGTGTCAGTGGACTTGGATCTAAACAAAATTACACACCAGCTTCAGATACGCTACGTTCTACATTAATTAAAAACGTCAACAATTAAATGTGTAGAGGAAGTGACTTTGAAAACAGGTGTTTCTGGGAAAAGCAAAATGATTTTTGCACTCTACTGTGTAGAAGTTGAAACATAATAGGAAAATCACTTTCGAAATTTCTTACCCCTTTTAGTGGCTCAGGAAATGCACTGTTTTATTTAACTTATCCTCATTAAAATTTATTTTACAATTGTGGAGATTAAATTACCTTGGATAAGCATCACAGTCAATTGTTTCGTGAATAATCTGGTGCCTGAACGTTGGTGTGAATCCCATTAATTTCACTAGAGTTTCGATGATCGCTTTGTCTTCCAACTCTAAAGTTTAACTAACTGTGCAAAAGCAATCATACTTGAATTGGTGTTTGCTTTGTGTTTTGTAACAAGGGCTGAGTTTAAGGTTCTAAGAATTATGTGAGGAGATATTTTAGCAGCTGACGACAATTCCTTTATAGTTATCCCCTCCCATACCTCGAGTTTGCTCTTCTTGGATGTCTTAAAAGGAATATTAGTAGTTTAGTTTTACTTACGAATGCAGGAGAATGAGATTTTGAACTGTAACATACTCTGTAAAATGATGGTGAGTAGCACACTGCCCAGTGAACTTTCCACGACTTGAAAATCATTTGCAGTATTTTTGGAAGGTTTAACGCGAAGTATGGTTTGTAATTCCCTGGCTTTTTTGACCGTATCGATGATGAACAAGCACTTTGTTTCTCAAATATTTCATGTACCTTTAAAAACAGGGCGGCAAATAATAAAGCCCATATAGAAACACACAAAGTTGACGTTTTTGTATTAGGTTGCTAAGTTTTTCTCTCTCGATTATAGTATCTAAAAAGGAATGAAAAATGAAAACCTACACTCCCACAAATAATTTCTCGAAACTTTAAAATATCATTCGACATAAAACCGTGTGATCATAATAAATTAATTATCAGTATACGGTTGTGAATATTGTTGAGTTGCACTGAAATCATGAACCAATTGGTGTTAGACCACCATTGAAATTCTAGAAGCACTGGATGGCCATACTGTGTTGACGTTTAACTTAAACCAATACACGATGCTTCACGACCCACTTCCATTATCTTCGGTGGGCAACTGTCTCACACCCGACACTGCTGAACTCCACTAGTCACGACTTCTCACTAGAGCTCCAGGAATTACCTCTCGAAGCTAATCACTAGTGAGCACATGATGATTATGAGTATAGGGTTGTGGAGATTATTGAGTTGCATTGAGACCAAATAATCAGGAGAAAACCACGGAAAAACCGTAGGGAAGGTAATATTACTTTGATAAAAGTAAGACTACGGATCAAATGTACTGCAGCATTCCTGGGAAAGCACAGTAACGAGCCAGGGTATTATGTATTTGGAATATCACTTGTTTTCTCCAACATAAAATACAAAAACAAAATTTGTTATTTATTTTTTTTTATTTTTAGGACGAAAAGGATCGATACATTTTAGAAATACTCGATAAATATTTCATTGCTTTGAATCTCTAAGAAATTAATCTAGAACCACTTGATTTTTTAATAAGCAGTAAAAATGAAAGAGTATGTCAGATGTCAGCTGCTACTTCAAACGATGCACTGTCATTTGTTCTGGTAGAAAGATGACGGAAAATATTTTATCGTGAATATACAAGCATGATCATAATCTTTTTTGAAAAAAATGAGGTCCGCAATAGCTTATCACGAGACTTAGAAACAGAGTAGTTTCGTTTCATCAAATACAGCTACTACAAACCTAAAATAGTTAGAAGTCTCCAGCGTTTGACATATGTTGTCTTTAACGCACTGGTGCGTGCGATAAAGCTAAACGATAAGAATACCAAAGGTTATTTCCAGGACTTAATGTATAGGGTTATAAACCTTCAGAACACAGAGCTTTGGACTGTCTGTGTAAAAAGGCACTGCACATTGAGCAAGGCTAGTAAATGGCTATATTCATGTGATGAAAAATAGCGAATATTTAGCTGTAAAAGTGGTCACACCATGAAAATTGAAAAGCTGGTAATTATCTGCTCACCACTAAATCTACTGATAACAGTCTCCCTAGTAGGGTAGACTGATCAATTTCACGTGCTTGGAAACAACTCAATACCACTTTGAGGATACACTGTCTAGTGGAACTGTTGGAATACGTCAAAGCTTGGTAAAGAAAGGGGTAAAATTCTAACTTATGTGAAATGGAAACTAGAGCCTTGATGATATGATATTATCTATACAGGCGACATGATGTATGTTAACTTTGCTGTTTTTGGAAGAATACCCAAAAAACCCTATAATCTAACATTTGTCCACATAATACTTAATTAGTCTAAGGACATGAAACATTGGAAATCCCACAATACAGAATTTTAAGTTACTTCGTTACACAGTCGGTGTGCGACAAATATCTCTATCACACGAAAATTATGCTGGATTTGAAGTAGCCATTATACAGAAGTTTAATCGTGAATCAGAAGAAAAGTGTAATTGAGCTGATTCCTGGTGAAAGTCGGCATATTGCCTTTGAAATCACAAAAATTGCTAGTTGAATTATTTTTTATCTTGTCTAGGATGTATGTTGCATGCACGAAGAGAGTTAACGTAATTAAAAACGATTAATAAAAATTACATATTTTGGTAAATAACAACTACATATGGCTTTCCGGGAAATCATGAAATCACGTAATAAATAGAGTCTACACCATAACTCAAGTAGATCGTTCAATTAGATCACAATACTTCATACTGAAAACAAGTATCGAAAGACGCAGTAAAATGAATCAAATTATGATTCATTGCTGTAACATTTAAAGTAGGCTATCAGTTCTTTAATCCCTACCGAGGGTTTTTAGCATGGCTTTTTTTTTTTTAAAGATAGCGACACTCACGTGTTTAGTTTATCCTGACAGTCCATCTAATCAGTAAACACAAAATACCCAGTATTTGGATGACTAGTCCTAAACACGTTGGACGTTGTGTTCTGTTGTTGTGATTAGAAAAAAACTACTTTTAGATGTCAAACGAAACGTAGATGACCCTGTTTTTATAATTTATTGTCCGAATTGACGAAATTGATGAATACTCCGCTCATCACAAAGGGAAACCTTAAAAAAGGTCATAATTCAATAATTATATGGCTGTCCAGAAGTAACTACAGGATTAGAAGGCTAAGTATACAGTAACGTGCGTTCCAATAATATGGTGTGAATGGTGATGGCGGAATAGAAACTTTTTTGGTGGAGTTTGTGCTGATGATGTCGTTCAGAAGAATGATGAAAGCTCCACGACCAAACCATCCATCTCAGAGAACAAAACTCCACCAAAATCATCCACCTGAGCTACAAATCTTCTCCACCATCTCAATAGAAACTTTTGCTTAGCTAGCTTTGTATCTAGCGGCAGTGGATCCCCGGTACTTCTAGGTACGGACCTTGGTTTATTTAACAAAGAAAGAAATATTGTCCTAATACTTTAAGGTTTGAAATGAAGTCCCCGAACTAAAGTCGTGCATTTCCTTAAGATATGTTCCAGAGTTTTCTTCATATTTTGAGGTGCAGGAGAAAACATATTTTCGTACTCTAAATAGGGTCGAATAAAACTAATGAATTTACGTAGAACGTTTTGTCGTCTGGCCGAAAATGTGCTTCATGATTGTCGGTGCACGGTTTGCTCTAAATACATCCAGAGTAAGATTACACGGTATTAAATGAAGAGGTTCGAACTCTGTGCTATGACCAAGGAAGTTGTTGAGGATGTTAATATTGTGGCTCATTTCCTTACATTTGTTGGAAAAGAAGCAACACTGATCCAGAAGCTTTAGATTATTATCCTGGTTGCAAACTCTCCTCTAAAGTTTAACATCAACAAGGAGCCATAACTCAAGCGATACTTAGAGAGGAAGGCTATCTATATGGATTAAGAATAGTATTATTGCCGAACCATGAAGCGACTTTACTAGAACATTCCGTAGCCTGAGAAGTTTAGTCTGAATCTGAACAGTTGATTATTTGGATATGGTTCAAAGTAGTCTATTGATCGTGACTTAATGCCTATCAGATTAAGCTTACTGGTGATAGACATACGATTGATCGTAGTAAAAGCTTTCAAGATACCGAGATATATCGAATCAAACTTTATCTAACGATCAAGAATGAGGATACGTTTTACTCACCCTATTCAAGCACGCCTCAGAACCTGACACATATACACATCACTTCAAGTTGCCGTACCCTATTAACATAACAAGATAAAATTATCAGGGCAAATTCTAGTTTAGTGGGGGGAGTGAGAGGATTAGTGGTAATAGAGTAGATTAAACACCCAAGATACAATTCAACAAGAAAACATACATTAGTGAAATAATAGAAGTTTATGGGGAATTTAAAAATATAGATCCAAGTGAAGAGAAAGAGTGAGTACAGCTGCACCATTGCCAAAGATTTTGAGTCATGTCATTCAAATTCTCTAACAATTGTTTATGATTATCACACAGACTCCAACCAGGTAGTTTTCACCTGCACCTACCTACAAAGCTCAGTTCAAAAGTCAATTTTTTCATGGATTGGTGCAATGATTTAGTTTGGTCGCATCTGGATTTATCCCAATACACCTACATCGGGTCTCATTGAGTATTGAGGTGGTTAGTGGATGGGCAGACATAATAAATGTCCCAATATTCTGTCAACAAAGATTTATCACCTCGTCAACTAGCTTCTCATACTTACATAGTACTCTGCATGTAAAGTGAAGATTGACAACTCAATGGTCCCAGAGTACACTAGAAATGCCTCGATGATACCTACTATCAAACACCAGTGACTTTCAAATACTCTTGATTTTTAGAGGTCATGAAGAACGGAGCGAATTGTTGTCCAGTAAACGCACTTACACCAAAAATGGCGTCCTTTGCCAAACGCCAACCAGGCTACTTGAACACGTGGTGAAACTTTGTCAGACGCCAACTCACCAGGGTTGATAAGACTTCCAAGCTAAGTGAAGTAACTGACGCGCTTAACTAGTCCATTTCCCACCTTTAGTTCAGGCCTTAAAGCATACCAGTCTTGAGGCAGTATTTAGCACCTAGGCGGACAGAAACACACTATACACGTTCTCGCATTGCCCCTTAATGCGATCATTAGTCTGTATTCTTTCACTGTACTAGGCAGAACCGGCGGGACTCTAAATTATGGACGAGTCTATCAGAAGCGTTTGAGGAATTTCAAGGTCACGGCGCCAAGCTCAACACGCGATGCTCACATACGATCGGTTTACAGCAGATTTTAGAGAAGAGGTGATTATTGAGCGACTACAAAAGATGGAACTATCAAGAAGTTCCTGTACCTGTGACTGCGGTAATCAAATGACTGCAATACGATGTGCAGACTAACGTGATGAGATTGTATTTCATTGTTCTACATGTTTGAGGAAAGTCTACTTTAACTGACACTTTCTTCGCTCAATCAAGACCCAGACTAAGGCAAATCATGGTAATTGTTGCAAATTGGATTATAAAGTCACCAGGAACATTGGCTGTGGCTTTTGCAGATGTTACAGTAACTTCAGGCGTTCGGTGGTACGAGTATTGTCGTGGTATATGTGTAATCAAAATGACACACCTACAGGAATCTTTTGGAGTCGAAAGGATAGTGGGAATAAATGAAACACTAGTGAGAAAGCGAAAATACAACAAGGGACGTTTTATCAAGACAGATTGGGTAAGTAGCAATTCCGTAAATATACTTGATAGGTACTTGAACTTTATGATCGGTCAACCCAAAAGAGGCATTTCCAAAGGGTTAGAAACCGTCAAGCGACCACAACAATACCGATCATAAAGTAGTACGTGTAGCCTGGCACTACGGTATATACCGATGATTAGAAAGTGTATATATGCCTCCATAGCCTTGGGTTTGTTCGACATGTAGTACACAAACGCCAATTTGTCAATCCAACTACGGGAGTTCATACTAACAATACTGAAGCGATGTGGTTGAGACTGAAGGAGTTTTTAAGACCTTACCACGGTTCCAAAGAACGACTATAATGGAGCCATACGGACGAGTTTCTTTATCGTATGCACCATGATTTCATGACATGTGAACCTTTATCTAACCTTAACAAGTTTTTGAATCATGTGAAAGAGGAATATCCGCTGTAATTCATTAGGTTTTTATAACATATTTTAACTTTATACAAACTCTCTTGACTAATAGTTCTCAAGGTCACTTAAAATTCGTTCAAAGGTCGGTTCCCCATTTTAGAGTTCTTGATTCTCGCCCATAAAATAGAGTCTCGTAAGAAACAAAATACATACAGAAAACGTGAGAACAAGATAACCTTGACGTACTGTTCCATTTCAAAAAATGCACTTAACGTTGTCCCAATAAACAATGATCCAGATTTGTGTAGTAAGAACAGAACACCTTTTGCGTATCACATTCATTTGTAAAGTAAACCTCAAAGTTTTAGAATTGCATGGGTTTTTGCTTTCTGTACTTTTTTCAAGATATCAGAGTCACCTGTTGAACAGGACCTTGCAATCTGGACGCAGTTCACATGTTTAGTTCTTACTAAGACTTTGTGTGTTGTAGTGAACATAGTTGTATTTAACTTGGAGGGTGTTCGTCTTAAAGACCATTGGGTTATAAACCGCTAGCTGCAACCTCCTAGCAATGTGCCGTGTTCTTAATATAATAACTCACCGTCACTCCAAAATACTTGTGAGTCAGGATCACGGTTACGGGAGCTTCTTTAATAATGTAACCGTCTGACTTTCTTTTTTTATAGACCATGTGGACAGTTTGCTACTTTAATATGCATCAGCCTTTTTCTAGTCCAGTTAATCTCATTATTTAAGTCTGCCTGAAGTGAGCACGCATTTGCGTCTTCTGTTATTTCTCTCCAGATTTTTACATCACCAGTGTATAATAGTATTGGGGTTTCATCTATACTTGGGAGATCATTTACGTACAGTATGAAAATTAAAGGATCTATGACAGAACCTTGAGGTACTCCACTAATTACTGATCTCCAGGTGTATGACTAGGAATTTATTCTTACTTTCCGTCTGCGACCTAACAGGAAATCGTTAAGCTATTAAGAGGGAAATCTAGCAATGCCAGGATTTTTCAGCCTCAAAAGTAATCTGTTTGTTGGTACCTAATCGAATGCTGTACTGAAGTCTTTGTAGACAACATCCATTGACTTTCCGTTGTCTAGAGCCTTTTTACGTTGCTACCTTGCTATGTGGAGTTTTGTTGTACAAGATATAGCTCTTCTGAAATCATGTTGATCGTTGTTTAACAAATTAATGGGTTTCACGAATGTGATTATGACTATTATTTCCAGTATCTTAACTACGACACTGGTGAGGCTGACAGGTCTGTAGTCAATGTAAGTTGTCTTGGTCGTGTTTGACGTACGGGAGGGACGATAGCATCCCTCCAGTCCATAAGTAACATTCCATGGTCAAGTGATATATTGAATATCAAAGTTAGTGGTGCTGCAACATATTGTGCAATCTTTCTCAGGATTTTTTATTTATTTATTATTTTGGGGTGTTGCGGTAAATAAATCCCTAAAATAAGTAGTTCTGTAAATCTTCGATATTGAATGTTAACCAAATTAGTTTTAATGGACCCATCTAGCTGAAAGCGCTCGGTCATGCATCCGCACCAGATCACGAGTGTGGACGCCGTGCTCAAGATCCTTTGCAATCGCTAACCAGATTAGACACGTTGATCCTCGATATACTGGTAGCCTACCATATGTATCTTCAAACCTCCTCGCTTTCGTCTTTTGATGTCAACTGGGAGGTATGCTTCATATTAGAAGGTGTCAACACTGTCAAGCTCCAAAGATCTGTGGCATCTTCAGTCCGGTTCTGATGACTTATCCGTGTCTAAAATACCGTGAGATTTAAGTATATCGTCTCGATCAAAGTTCACGGTAGGCAAACGGTCTTTAGATTTTGTTTTTAAGTATAGTTCTTCATCTGGGAGAGTCTCATGAGTGAAAACTGCTTCGAAATTGTTTGCCGTAGCTTCTGCCTTATTCTGATCATCTATCATTTCCTTAATAAGGTAAGGAATCCAATGCTGTGTCCTTGTTGTGTTATTCATGTACGAGAATAGTCTCTTAGACTGCTTGAATACAATATATGCAAACTGCATTTCGTGTATTCTCTGAGCGTTTAAACCGAACGTGTCTAGTGAAAATGACCAGCTGTTATACATCAATAATGTGATAAGAGTTTGCCATCTCGTGGAGATTGGTGTAGAAGTAAGCGTTCTTCTCGGAAATGCAAACAACTGTCTTCAAGATCCTGTTTTCAGCCCACAGGAGGAAAATTGAAAAGCGATGGTCATAAGGGACACGAGTTGTGTTGTAGCGGTAAATAAATTCACAAACTAAATAGCTCTGTAAGTTTTCGACATTGGATGCTGACCATATGTTTTAGTGGACTCACCTAGCTGAAGGCGCTCGGTCATGCATCCGCACCAGGTCACGTGCTGTAACGCTGTGCTCAACTTCTACCGCAATCGCTAGCGAGATCAGATCAGAGAATTCCGTTATATTGGTTATCGCCAAATACACTCTTCCGATCTCCTCGACTCTGTCTTTTGATTTCTCTCGGTGGGAACAAAGCATATTAGAAGGTGTTAATGGTAGAAGCGTTGTCAAACACTGAATACCTATATCATCATCATTGGTGAGCCCGACGTGATCTGGTACACCTAATTGCAACTGTGAGTCTGTTCCTTTTTGGGATTTTCATATATCATTGCCTTATTTTAATTTTTTTTTAAACATTGTGATTATTTTCGTGTTTTTCCTTGGGTATGTATATTTCATCATGACTGAACAGACAACCAAAGTACTCAAGCTTAAGACTTTGTCCCCGCCTTCGCTTCAACTCATGCCTTTCTGTCCCGACAATATAGAAGTCTGGTTTTGCTACGCAGGAGCCGACTTCTCCGAGCACGGCGTGATCGACACACGTGCACAAATCCTCGCAGTAGTCAAGGCACGACCACGCGAATTCAACAGGTACATAACACCTAGTATGTTTACTAGTGATGATTCTGAACCTGACGAAATCCTAAAACGTTGGATTCTTAAACGAGGAGACCTAAACGATCGACAAAGGTTAGATCAGCTCTTCAATGACATCGCCCTGCAACACGTTTCTGCGACGGACATGTTGCAACGAATGAAAGAAGTGATTGGCCTAAGAACTTTCGACGAAGGCCTATTTAAACAACTTTTCTTGTGTAAACTTCCTCAATAGGTGCAAACTGTGCTTGTCTTGATTCAAAACAACGCCTTAAACGAGCTGACTGTATCTGCTGATCGTATTTTAGAAATAACGAAATCGTCTACTACAGAGGTATTTTCAATAAAAAAAGCCTCAAACGACCAAGAATGACATAACCGAGTTATGTCATACACTCACGCGTTATCTTAATCTTCGTAACGACCGTAATCGCTCACACAGGCCACGTAGAAGCATTTCAAGTAAACGATCTGTCTCTAGAACACGAGAGACTGATAACCTCGACTGGTGCTGGTATCATAACCAGTATGAAAAATCTTCCAGAAATTGCAGAAAACCCTGCAATTTTCCCAACACGAAAACGACTGACTCAAAAACAACGACGAATAGCTCCTGAAAAGCTAAGGATAGCGAAAAACGAATTCGATCACATGATAGACTTAGGAATCATACGACCGTCAAACAGCCCATGGTCATCTCCGTTGCACATGGTCCCTAAGAAGGACAGCAACGATTGGCGTCCAACTGGTGACTATCGGCGATTGAATGTCAAAAACATTCCCGATCGTTACCCGTTGCCTCACATTCACGATTTGATAGCTACATTGAAAGGTACAATTGTCTTTTCGAAAATCGACTTGGTTAAAGCGTATAACGAAATCCCTATGGCTACTGACGACATACCGAAAACAGCTATCATAACAACTTTCGGACTCTATGAATTTTTGCGAATGCCGTTCGGTCTAAGAAACGCTGCGCAAACATTCCAAAGATTCATAGACGACGTTTTTCGAGGTCTCAACTTCGTACATGCGTATGTTGATGACTGCCTAATCGCAAGTCCGGACAGAGAATCACATCTCAAGCATCTGGATCTTGTTTTCGAACGATTACAAAAACATGGCATTACTGTAAACGTTCAGAAATGCCAATTCGGAACCGACTCGTTAGATTTCCTAGGACACACTATCGATGCTCAAGGCATTCGACCTCTTAGGACCAAAGTGGCGGCCATTCTGGATTACCCAGAACCGACCAACATCAAGCAATTACGCACGTTTAACGGCCTGGTAAGTTTCTATAGACGCTTCATACCGAAATGCGCATTACTTATGAAACCTCTTACCGCCCAACTTTGTAGAAATGCGAAATCCACTAATTTGGACGACACCGCACGAAAAGCATTCTCCACAGTTAAGGAACTGATCGCTAAAGCAACAATGCTCGCACATCAGGACACCGAAGCACCCATTAGTATCACATCCGACTCGGCAATTGGAGGAGTCTTACAACAATGGGTTAACAACTCCTGGCAACCCTTGGCATATTTCTCTAGAAGGTTGCTAGACACCGAATCAAGGTACAGCACATTCAGTAGGGAACTTCTAGCTATGTATTGTGCTGTACGGCATTTCCAACACTATATCGAAGGCCGTGAATTCACTCTATTCACTGACCATAAACCGCTCACTTTCTCGTTAAGCTCCTCTTCAGACAAGTACTCTCCCCGTGAGTCTCGACAACTGTACTACATTTCGCAGTCTACTTCAGACATTCAACATACTTCTGGAGCAAACAATGTAGTTGCAGACGCCTTATCTCGCATAAATTCCTTGAACAGTTTCCAAGGAATCGACCTTCTGAAACTCACCGAGCTTCAAAAAGAAGACACTGATCTTCAGCAAGAGTTATCGTCCACAACCCCTAAACTACGCATCAAACAGAAGGGAACAGGTAAGGAAACCTTACTTTGTGACACATCTACAGGTAGGGATCGCCCAATCGTCCCGAAACATTATCGACGCAATGTCTTCAACACATTGCACAAACTTTCTCATCCAGGTGTTCGTGCAACCATCAAGCTTATAGCAGGACGGTTTTGTTGGCCTGGTATGAATAAAGACGTGAAGGAGTGGGCACGCTCCTGTGTAAGCTGCCAAAAATCTAAGGTCATCAGACACAATAAATGTCCCTTAGTCTCATTTAAAACTCCCGATGCTCGACTCGACCATGTTCATCTAGATTTAGTAGGACCTTTACCAGATTCAAATGGATACTCTTACCTCTTAACCTGTGTAGATCGTTTCACTCG